GATTCAGATAAGGCGGTATCGGGTAGGCTCTCCCTCGGAAGTCCAAATTATGCGGGAAATATAAGGTCTCGTTCGCAACCGCCCTCGCAATCTCAAGCTGGAAGTTCTGAAAGCACCGCTGCGAGTGATACCCAGACCTCCTATTCTCAATCTCTCGCACCTCAGTAAGCCATCTCCGTCTCGGCGACGGATCCGTGGACGGCTCAGGCTCAGCCGGTACCTCAATGTCCGGATGTAACGGTGCAAAGTTCGCGATCGCCTCGCCCGAGTTCCAAGCCTCGAGCTGCACTTTCAGGACATCATGGTTGATTTTCCAAGGGGTCTTGCCAAGCGCCGTCAAGCCAGCATAGATTTGCTTCATATCGCCCTGTTCGTGAGCTGCTGTAAAGTAGTCCTTCGCGCTTTTCTCACCGTTCGTCAATCGCAAGATCGAACTAGGATACTGATAATACCCTCCCTCCTGCCACCCTGTCCACGGCTTCGGCTCTACAATCATGGGCATGCGCTTCGCCATCAGACTCGTGATGGGCTCGCTCTGCACTTTCGTCACCAGGGCCGGATTAGGTGTGAACATGCCGAATCGCTTGCCATTCATGTACTTCTGACGATGCAGGAACGCCGGCTGCATCTGGGTGATCTTCGCTTTTGTCCTCGGGTGGGTCTTTGTCACGGGCATCTGCGCCGTCTCGATCAGCTTCGAGAGTAACATCGCGCCGAGCTTGACCTTGACCTGGCTGGGCCATTCGGAGTACTTCAGCTTCTGCTCGGCGCTCTTGTCGCTAGCAGATGCCGCTGCTTGTAGTCTCCTCTGACCGCGTCGGTTATTGCTCGCTCTCCGACGCTGGCGAGCGGTATGGTTGTGCTCGCGCCCCTTCGTAGTCTTGAATGCGTTTGCCACAATGCACTCCTGTTCAATGGCCTTCCCGAGACTTATCGTAAGCACGCCTAGCTTGGCTTCCGTCTGATAGGCGCTGCTATGGTGATCCTTGCCCCGCGTGATGATGCCCATGGTGTGCAAGATCGTACTCGCGGCGATCTTACGCAACGGTAAGATCTCCAGGTATGGTCCGTAGCTCAAGCGATCAAGATCCCGTGAACTAGGAGTGGCCAAGACTTTCTTCACCTCCGCGAGCTCCTGCTCTAGAATGGGCATAAGAGCAGTAAACCACTGCCACATCAGTGCTCCCACAGGCTTCGATTGCATTGAGCTTATAATACCGATCTTCCGCAGCTCTTCGTCGGCCTTGCGCCATCGCTCCAATGCAATGTCTGCCGAGTTCTTCTCCATCTCGACCTGCCGCTGGTACGCAAGCTTGCGCTGCTCCTCGATTGTCGCTCCTGGATTTACAAGTGCCGAGTCCGTGAAAGCCTGCATCGCCTTCTTGATGTACTCCAGGCCCTCGCCCTTCTGCTCCGTCGCCAGCACTTCGGGCAGTTCCTCAGAGGAGACCTTATCGGGTCTTATCATGGTCTCTCGTGCCTCAGCCACCGCTTGCTTCAAGTCTTGACTCGCAGGCAGCTCCTCCTCAATATCTTCACAGAACTCCGAAGTCGCCGCACCGAGAAGTGCAAACTCGTTGTCGTCGTAATCCTCTGCATTCAGCACTTCGTCATGCATCTCATCCCCAAGCTGCCTTGCCATCTCCACGAACCTTCGAACGGCGCGATCCCACGACGAAGCCGACTGGACTCTCAGACTGCTTCTTATCATTGTGACAAGCATCTCTGACTCCAGCGTCACTCCCTTCCCATACATTTCGACCTCAAACCAATGCGCCATCTTCCCCGCTAATGCCACTTCATCTTTCGATCCCCGCGACAGACCCAGGAGCTCCCCTAGCATACCCTCCAAGTACACAGCATGCGCGTGCACAACCTCCGGACTCGCACTTCCATTCATCTCCGCCAGCCTCTTTACAATATTCTCCGCCCGATCCATACGTCCCACCCTCAGGCTAGTATGTAGATGCTGCACCAGATCCTGCGTCGTCCCCACGATCCCGCTCTGCACCCGTATCGTAGGCTCCTCCTCCATCATACTCGTATCTATAAGCACCGGCAAACCTACCGGCCGCAGACTCGACAGCGGCGGACTCGCTTTCACACTGCTAGCGTCCCAGGGCACATTCAGATCCGCCGAGCTCTTGAACGGCGAGGCAGCTCGATAGCCAGGCGGAGGATACTGCGCAGCCTGTGATGGAGTGTATGCGTCTGCAGCTGTGGCGAGTTGCCGCACTTGTGCCTGTCGAGTGGAAGCACCTCTTGAGCCATTGCGTTTCCGGGGTCGCAAGGAGGGTTGTGAAGTCGCTGCTGCGGCTTGTGTGGCCGTCCATCGGAGTTGTGCTGGGGCGAGCCATGGGAGATTTAGCTGGGCGAAGGAGGCGGCGAGGATTTGGGATGTATGACGCCGGGCGAGCATAGTTGCCACTGATGTTGATGGCGCGAGAAAGACAGGAAAGGAAGGAACAACTGCGCAACACTCCAGAACAGCGCCCTATATGAATAGCAGATGGGATTGCAAGAAATAATGAATGAAGCACGCGAGCCTCGAAGAACTTTGGTACATGGCACGCGAGACATAAGCGGAGGAACTCCGGACACCCTCTAGCGTCGCCTTGGCAAAACCAAAGGAGGTGCAAGGATGGGCAACAAGACCAATTCATTGCTGCGACGTGCTGTCATTGCTAGCTGTCCATTGTCTATGTATATTTTCATGCGCACTCCGGCTCAGCGTACAAGAGGAAATGGAAACCTCATCAGTGCCCATGTCCATCATTCGGATCACCTCTAACCTCCGGATCCAGCTTGATCAATGTGTCGATCCTCATAATCGCTACACAAGCCTCTACAGCACTCTTCAGCTGCTTGACCTTGCTCATTGTCGGTTCCACAACACCAGCCTTCAACGTATCATGCACCTTGCCTCTCGTCAAGTCCAATCCGTAGTTCTTGTAGCCCTTGGCCTTTGCCAGAGCCTTGGCGTCAGCATCGGACGTCTTCGTAGCAGGGGGAGGCGTGTTGTGGTCTGAAGGACCTTTGTGAGGGTGCGGGATCGGGTCTGAGGTCCGTTGTGATAGCGCATGGCGGGAGCGTAGCTGAGCGATGAGTTCGGAGGAGTCTTTTGCGGCGTTCACGGCAAGGGTCGTGGGGACTACAAGGAGGGCGGAGGCAAAGGCTGCGATTGCGAGTTGTTCGCGGGAACCCTGTATACGTTGTCAGCTTTCTGTGCTTCCACGGTTGGGACAAGTCCAGACTCACCACACTGGTCGCCCACTCCTCGAGGTAGATGTGCAACGCCGTCTCAACCGCACCACCACCAGGCACGATTCTGCCGCTCTCAAGTGTCCGCTTGACTGCCGAAAGCGAATCATGCACAGATCGCTCCATCTCGTCCAGACTGTACTCGTTCGCACCTCGCAAGATGATTGAGGCAGCGGTGTGCACCTTAGGACCCTTGACAAGAATGAGTTCATCATCACTGATCCTCTCCTGCACCACCTCCTCAGCCTGACCCAAATTCGCCTTGTCGAAGACCTCATCGCCATTGAGATCAGCCAATGTGGACACCATTTGTGCGCCTGTTGCCCTCGCAATTCTTCGCAGATCCTCCTTCTTACATCTCCGTATCGCCATTGCACCTTTCTCCACGAAATGCTTGAGGCACAGATCATCGATCCCCTTGGTCGTGAAGATCACATTCGCGCCAGCCTTGAGTATCATCTCCACTCTCTCGATAACCATACTGCTCTCCCTTTCCCGGATCTTCTCCAATTGCGCTGGGTCATCTATCACCACGTTGACACCCATCTTCATCCTCTCCTTCTGCAGATTCATGTCCAGCACCGCAATCCTCGCATCCGTAACCCGGGTCTTCATAGCTTGCGAAGCCACAGTGCAGTTGAGCGCATAGCCCTTGATGAGGAGACTCTCCGTCGCGCTCTTGCCGTGCGCCTTGAGCACGTTCACAGCCTTGACAGGGTACTTGACCTCGCCTCTTGCGTTCGTGGTCTTCACGCTAGTGATAGCGTCCACGACCATGTTGGAGAAGAACTCCGAGTCCCCACCAATGATCTTTGAGCTCATACTTGTCCTCGCAATGTTCATCAGACTCTCCCGCCCAAGTGTTTCGACCTTCGTGCTGATATTCTCGGTCATATACCGCACCGCCTCTCTTAACGCCAGCCGGTATCCTGTGATGATCGTCGTAGGATGAATCCTCATCTTCACTAACTCGTTCGCCCTTTTCAACAACTCCGCAGCAATGAGTACCACACTTGTCGTTCCATCACCCACCTCCTTGTCCTGCTGATGCGCGAGATCCACAAGAATCTTTCCTGCAGGGTGCTCCACGCTCAAGAGACTGAGAATTGTAGCTCCATCATTTGTGACTGTGACTTCACCGATATCGTCCACCATCATTTTGTCCAAACCACTAGGTCCGAATGATGACTTGACGACATTCGCTATGGCTTGCGTTGCGAGGACATTTTGATCCCGGATGTCTGCGCCTGAAATCTTCTGGCCGCCGAGGAAAAGGGTGCCAGCGTTGCGTTGTTGCTCGAAGATGCCGGCCATGATTGCGGATGTTCTAGCTGAGTGTGCTGTATTGGGTCAGGATGATGCAGCACTACAAGGGAAAATGTTTAGTGCTATTATGTAGCTGTAGCTGTGCCTAGATTTTTTGACGTCGCGTTTGGAGGACGCGCTAGCAGTGGAACTTCAGTCCACGCTAGTGCTGCACATGTCCCCACGTGACATACCCGCGCAAAACATTAATCCTGGCGCTGTCCCTCCTACGTGCAAGAATCACGATTCGAGACTTGCTGTTTCAGTCGTTGATCTCCTGAGCCGCGTACATTTGACTTTGGGGGCGGGGCCTGAATCAGCCCCAAGTGTTTCGAACCCGCCAAAAAAACCATCTGTCCACAGTCCAGACGAAGCACGACCAAAAGATATACGCATACTGAGTCACTCTGCGTTGTTCGCGAGAAGAACGCTGTTATTGTCCCGGAGAATCGAACTCCGAACCTTCTGTGTGTTAGACAGAAATCATAACCGCTAGACCAGGACAACCAATGCTGAGAAAGAGCTGGCACTGGTCAATTATATTGCTTATTATCTCACATATCGACCGATGTCGGCCTGAGCATCACTTGCAACGACTCCACCCCAATGCCATCACCACGACAGTTGCAGATCGTCAAAGCAAGCGCCCAAATGTGAGTCCGGCACACAAATGACCTCGATTCTTTCAAGTACCATCTTTCCTAGCGACCTCTATCATTAATGAAGCTACACACTCTCTTCAACACTGCACATCTATCCGTATCGTCTCTTTCCAGTACGCATTTCTCTTTGAGAACCACCACCCTCGCCTTTCAGACCCTCCGCAACATGTCCACCGCAATGAGCAAGCGCCTCGAAGGCAAGACCGTGCTAGTGACTGGAGCCAGCTCTGGAATCGGCAAGGCGACCGCCCAAGAATTCGCTCGTACTGCCCCATCAAACCTCAAACTCATCCTCACAGCCCGCCGCCTCGACACCCTGAAGCAAATCGCCCAAGAAATCGAGAAAGAAGTTGGCTCTGGCGTGAAAGTCCTGCCAGTCCAACTAGACATCTCCAAGGCCTCCGAAGTCCGCTCCTTCATTCAGAACCTCCCCAAGGAATTCCAACAAATCGACGTCCTCGTCAACAATGCCGGCCTGGTCAAGGGTGTAGACAAAGTCGGCGACATCAAGGAGGATGATCTCGACATCATGATGGCCACCAATGTGACCGGCCTGATCAACATGACCCAAGCGGTCCTCCCAGCCATGAAGTCCCGAGGCGAAGCTGGCGCAGGCGACATCATAAACGTTGGTTCTATTGCAGGCCGGGAGCCTTACGTCGGCGGCTCGATCTACTGCGCTACGAAAGCCGCTGTACGGAGTTTCACGGACAGCATGCGCAAAGAGCTGATCGCGACGCGGGTACGGGTCATGGAGATCGATCCTGGGCAGGTCGAGACGGAGTTCAGTGTGGTGAGATTCGGAGGTGATAAGGCGAAGGCGGATGCCGTATACAAGGGGTGTGAGCCTTTGACACCGCTAGATATCGCGGAGGTGGTGGTGTTCGCTGCGGGGAGACGGGAGAATGTTGTGCTAGCCGATGCACTGGTGTTCCCGAACCACCAGGTGAGTGTGACTTGTTCTTTGGTTCTGGGGGAGCGGATGGCTGACACGAAGGCCAGGCGGCGGCGACAATCATGCATAAGAAATCATAGACCAGAATCTGACCAGCCGTGCACAGAGTGGAGCTGGCGCGGGAGGTGTATACAAGAAGCCCGCCGCCAATCCACCAAAACTGTGAGCCTATGTAGACGTCCTCTCACGATACCCATCTACATGAAACCTATCTACTTTGAAGGATCCAACAATAGCTTCCCAGTCGTCTTCCTCCCCTCGAGATCGTTGTGCGCCCTCGCCACCTCACTCAGCGGATACACCTCATGAATCCTCGTGTCCAGCTTATCCTTCAAGATGACATCAAATAGCTCCTTAGTGTAGCCCTCGTACTCCTCCCTCGTGAAGATGGCATTGAACAGCGTCGGCCGACTAAGCTTGACGTTCTTCGCCGTCAACACCTTGACCTCCAACGGTGCAGGCGCACCAGAAGCATTGCCGAAAGACACCATACTCCCCTTCCTCGCCAGCACATCAAGCGACAAGTCAAAAGTCGTCTTGCCCACACCATCGAAGACTGCAGCGACGCCAGCTCCACCCGTCAACTCCATAACCTTCGCCTTCACATCCTCATGCGAGTAATTAATCACAATCTCCGCGCCAGCCTTCTTCGCCAGATCCACTTTCTCCTGCGTACTCGCCGTTCCAATAGTCCTCGCCCCAACAGCCTTCAACAATTGCACAAGCCACAGCCCCGTCCCTCCCGCAGCAGCATGCACCAAAATCCAATCGCCCTTCTGCACGTGATAGCTCTCCCGGATCATCGTCAGCGCCGTGAGACCTTGCAGGAGCGCTCCAGCCGCGATCTTGGGCTCCAGACCATCGGGGATTTTGGCAGCTTTTGCAGCAGGCGCGGCCGTGTATTCGGCGTAAGTGCCTTCGGCCAAGATAACGACGTGGTCGCCGTCTTTAAGGCCGTGGATGTCGCCGCCGCCGGATTTGACGACTGTGCCTTCGGCTTCGCGGCCGAGGATATAGGGCCAGGAGGGGGCGGGGTAGAGACCGGTGCGGAAGTAGCTGAATGTAATATGAGTATGGGTAGCTTGGAACGGGAAGGAAGACATACGTGTCAATGTAATTGATGCCGATAAAGTCGTTCTTCACCAGAACTTGGCCTTCCTTGGGCTCAGGCACGGGCAGGTCGGTCTTATATTGCAGGACTTCTGTGCCGCCGTTCTTCTCAATGATCACGCCTTTCATGGTTTTGGGGACTGAGGTCGCCATGGTGCGGATTGTGAAGCTTGGTCGCGTGAGGTGATTGGATATTGCAGCTACGCGCAGTGCTGGAGAGAAGGTCCTTTGTGTAAGCTTAAAAAGATGGAAGAGAGACATGCAAAGGAGCTTGAGGTAAGGGAGCAAGATGGTGTAGATGGTTTTATTGGTTTAGTAATTCACACGCATGAAGTCGCAATCTCGCCCGCAGTATCGCACTCCAGTAGGTCCGCAGCTTTGCACGAATGTTGTGATTGCCGAAGGGGCCTGCGAGTGAGCCGAGCTCGCAGTCATCCCTTTGAACATATCGTCGCGTAGCTGCCACCATCCGTCCTCAAGATGTGACGCCATCGCAAAACCCCCGCCTGGAGAGGCTCACCCCCACCATACTGACAATTGGAAGCAACTGCCGCATTGGCTATGCTACTGTCCACACGTATTCTCCGTCAACAAGCCAATCTAGTAGTCTTCGAAATCTGAGTCGCCGTCTCCATCGCTATAAGCAGCAGCTTTGTCCGTCCCATCGTCGTCCTTCTTACGCTCATCGTCCCACCTGCCCCCTATGAAACATTCTGGTCAGTATCTGCAACATTGACACAGGTCAGGATACTGACTTACACCCCCTCGGATCCTTCTTCGCCTTCTTCTGGTCCATCACAATCTCGTTCCAGCACCATTTGTAGAAGCTCCCATCGCAATAATACAGATGATCAATCCACAGTATTCCCATCTCAAGCTCCTTGACGACCGCGTCGAACTTCAACCCAACGTAGCAGTTGTAGAGGGTCTTCTCGTCGACAATGAATTCGAATGTCTCGTGGCCATCCCAATCTGGAGCGGGCTCGCGGTCGGAGAAGTTGGGCTTCTCGTAGCGTTTACATGTCATCTTGCCTAACGCGGGAACGATGGTGTGGCCGAGACCCTGGAACAGATCCTGCGTAGTAGCATCCGCATCGGAGAGTAGGGAGATCTCGGTGATCTCAAGATGGACATCGTCATCTTCCCACACCACTCTCAAATTGGTCAGGTCGGTGACGTGTGCCTCTGCCCTGTCGATCTGGGATTGAGTTCCGTAAGCCACGATACCCGTGAGAAAGATCGTGCGTGCGTCCTGCTTGGTGAACACCATTGCGTCCGCTGAGATGTCGGGCTTGAAGTCGTCGTCTTCGTAAGACTCCTGCTTCACACACGATGCGGTGGCTGAGCCGTTCATCGCAATGGAGGCTGCGATGTTGAACACACCTGGGAGGGACTTCGAGGCCTTGGCCATAAGAGGAAACTCCCTCTCAATTTCGTCGAGAATAGTGATGGACTCTTCCAGCTGGTCCGTGTATTCTGCAAATACATTGTGGTGCAGCAAGTACTTGAACCAGTTGCGGAGAATGTTGCAAGACGCCTCCACAACCTCTTGGTGGGTCGTGTCGAAGCGGGTGGAGAAGCGAGTCGAGAAGAAGCCTCTAAGCGTGCCGGGGAAGTTGACAAACCAAGTCCCATCTCCAGCGTCGATGCTCTCCCTAGCCTCGTCGAGGACGAAGTGCTTCGTGTTCCTGGTCTCAATCTCGTCTTTGCTCAGCCCCTCTATCTCCGTCTTCGATATGCCGCCAGTGAACTGCGAAAAGTCCTTGTGAATGCCGCAGTAGTCGAGATAGTCGTCGAACAGCAGATTCACCTTCTCATGGCCTCTGCGTTTCTTCAGGTACCTCACGATGGCCAACTCCATGCGATAGCAGAAGGAATTGTCAGTACTGTAATCATCCTCATTGGCGCGGCGCTCCTCTGGAGTGAGCGCAGGGTTGACGTAATCGTGCTCGAAGTTGGTAGGCCTCAGCATGCCTTTGCTCAGATGTGGGTTCGCTGCGAGAACCACGTTCTTCTTGCTATCGACTAGCTCCTGCGCTCTAATGGCAGGCTCTACCTTGGCTTTGGCCATGTCGTAGGGGATCTTGCGTCTGATATACTTGTTGTCGACAACTTCAACAATCGTGCTCTCGCGAAGAGCGTTCTTGACGTCGCCTGAAGGTTTGAAATCGCGCATGCGACCCCAGCTGAGGATCTGCTTCAAGCTAACACAACCGGGTCCGTACTTTGCTTCTTGGAGCTTGCCCAAGAGATGAGTGTCGGTGGCAAGGTTCGCGTCACTGAAGTAGTATTCGACTTGTCGGATGACTGCCGCCTTATCTAAGGTTGGACGAGTAACCGTGTTGGTGGCAGGAGGCTGAGCGGTATTACTGACTGTAGTAGTTTGAGTGGTGGTGTTGCTGATTGGAGGTTTAGTGGTAGCATCAGCTTGCGCTGAAGGGCTCGAAAGAGGATCAGCCATGGTGGCACTAGTGGTTAGCGCGGTTGAAGTTGTGTCTCGTGCAAGCAGGGAATTGTTGTAGTAGGGGAGTGAAGAGACGTTGGCTTTGGGATTCTTTCGTGTTTTGTATGTGTGCTGCCCGACTAAGAACTTTGACACAAGGAAGTCGTGCACAGAATGCTCCGGAAGGCGCAGCCCACATGTCAAGGTAGCAGGACATGTGCTGCCTCCACGGGTAGCGTAGCGCTTCACTCACCTGACCCATGACCCTTACTACATGATCACGATCGGTCGTATATTAGCACGCGCCAATACCATTGTGTGGGAGAAGAGATGTTGG